CTAATATTTCTCCCCCTCCAGTTGTGGCTGGAAACAAAGCTAACTTCCATGATGACAAATGCCAACATGCACCAGTTAAAGGTGGAGTGCAGGACTTTTAAATGTAAACGAACGCTGTTACATTCAAACAGCAAATGTCACAAAGCTAACAGGAGGGATCAACCACAGTAACATAGACAGAGTGGACCACAGCAGCTATAGGAGTACAGCAGGGAAACCTAAGAGATATCCAAGGAAAAGTTCAGATACGCCAGACAAAAAAATAAATTTGGCTTTCAGAAGTGACTTTACTCCTCAGCCAATGCTAACGCCCTATGTTGCCATGTTATGCCAAAGGTTTCTTCTTTTGGTCATGCCCCACCCCTCCACAAAATTCCATGTTAGTCGGTTGACAGTTTTTGCATAATCATTGTCACTAACGAGCGAACAAACAACAGTGATACACAACGTCCGTGGTGGAGATAATGATAGTATTCGCCTTGTAACTCTTGCTGCCAGAGGGGGAGGACAAAAATTCTTCACTTCGGGTTTAACATAATAAAATAAAACTGCCCTGAAAAATCCTCGAACGAAAACATGAGGTAATATCCAGCAAATTGGAAGAATATCCAAATCATTTCATCACAATGTCATCACATTGTTTTTTGCCCCCTACAGGTCAATCAATTGTAACGCTGTCCTGCTGACCCCAAACTGCCCTTTGACTTGAATGAGTGTCCAGGGAATAACAAAGCAGTTGTCCACAGGGACACGTTTTGGTCAACTATGTTTGCCAACCAACTGCTCGGCTCCTTAAATGGACGGGGTCAGCTTGTTGCCTGGAAACACTTGAAAGGATATTTGACATTTTGGCTTCATGGTGCCGGTTGCTGGGAGAGCTTCTCATCCCTACTGGTTGAATCAAAGAGGAAGTTTTCAGTGTGAGAATATCTCCACAGGCGGTCCGTGTCTGTTTGTGATGGCGTAATTGTCCTCTTTAACATTACAAATGAAATATATGAACATGGCCATTTCCGAAGAAAAATCAGTAATACAGCAGGAATGATCACGTTTGCTGTCATGTCCAAACTTCTGTAAACCTCAAAGCAACCATGATATTCTCTGTCTCCTTCATGACTCACAACATGGCTGTCAAAGAGCAAAGCAAAAGTTCAAAAGCTCTGACAGGGTCAGTGCCTTCTGTAGAAGTCCCTTTGATTTTTAATATAGTCACAGAAAGGCTCCCTGGCCTGGGTAGAAAGAGAAAAAAGGGGAGTGTTAAAAAAAGGGTGGGGGGATCAAATGGGATAGAGGTTTGTTTTGTTCTCTCCTCTCTATCTGCTGAAGGTTCCTGGCTGATGAGGCCTGCTGTTTAATCTCAGCTGGCTCAACGGCTCGGCCCGCGGAAGTGCAGTCAGGAAAGGCACCTAATGCAGGGAGTCATCAAACAGTGTGGGTGTCAGAGGGCGATTCGACAGATGCCAAGTTATAACAGGAGCAATGATGGAAGATGGCAATACTGAAGTTATCTGAGCCAAATACCCCTGAACACCTTTCTGTGTCAGGACTGGTGCTTACTACTCTTCTGCTCTTGAATTATCAGTGAGTGGATTCACTGTAGATAAACTATTCTGCACAGATGGTGAAATGCACTGGTCTCCAGGGTGAAGGTTACACTCATGTGACTAATGATGACTTATTAGCCGATCCTTTGTAGGAACTTTGTGGGAAAGCACAACAGTGAAGTACATCCTATGTTGACATTAGATGTGGTCACAGCGTAGAACTGGTTCCTCGAGTTTGTGCCTTTCATTGGAAAATAATTTCACAATAAGTGAGTGTATTACACACTTCACAGCACAAACCATTCATAAACTATTTAGAACTGGGTTGCAACAACAAGGCGATTTTAGCAATTCAACACTTTAGTCACAAGTGAAAGAATTACTACATCCTTTTCATACAAGTGACAGTTGGGGTATTAGTTTCATTGAGTTCTTGCAACATTAACTCCGATAGAAGGCGAATAGTAAGAGAGACTCACACAACAGAGGAAAAGACCCAGTGTAGGTGTCATAGTAATTTTACAGCTGTAGCTATGTCTCCTCAATAACCAAGCTTCCCTTGTGTTCATGTTGATTAAACATAACCCAATGAACAATGAATGTATTGCACCCTAACCAGCCTGGGGGGGTGATTAGTTTTCAGGTTGTCTTGTGTGGGATGTTTACAGAAGCTTCCAGAGGGTGTTTCTCCACAACACAGCTGAGGAATTAATGAGCGCAGAAGGCGGCCATTGTTGAAGTCTAAAATATATGCGCTGACGGAAACATTGTCCTGTCTCTTCTGTTGAAATACCAATGACTGAATGCAGTGGTTCACAGGAACCACAGGTTTCACATAGCTCTGAAGTGATTCATGGTTGCACAGGCTGGCACAGGGCCAACTAAGAAGTCTCGTAAGATCTACCCAAAAACCTGAAGTACTGAGTAGACATATATGACTTCCACTTATGTAATGAAGTATGTGCTTAATCTGACGTTGAACGCTATCATTGCATCTCCAATGCGGAACATCTCATGTGTGGTACAACATCAGGGTTGTGGCTAACCTTGACATTCGTTAAGTATTTTTCCTAGATGAAACGAGATATTCATGCGATGGGACGGTGCCTTATTAAGTTTTCCACGGCTTCATAAATCTCCCAACATGGAGCTCCTCGTGTCTGGGAATGTAATAAGGCTGACATAGCGGATCTAATGTGCAACATCCATCACGAGCATAAGCATGACCACACAGCACAGAGCCATCACAAACGTTCAGACTAACGTCGATCACATAAGGCACGAGACTAAGATCCACTTCAGTTTAACAGGTTATAGATATAGATTTATTCTCTAGTCTATCTTAAGTTGTTAGAGTAATGCCTAGTGTGAAATAAGCTGCAGGCCCACAGCAGAACTCCTAATTAAACCAGAATAAAGTGTCTTAAAATGTGTGTGTATTTACTCAGTATCTGTGACTTCCTGTCTGAGGGGTCGGCTGTGTCTCTGGCTCTTTTGATCCCGGCTAAAACCTACTCCAGTAACCCATATCCTGTATCCTCATTTGGTAGCACATGCAGTGACAGTTTCCCAAATACCAGACAGTATCGGTTTCCCTTCATCTTGTGGCGAAGGCCCAACTCCAGTGTCTAATTTGCTAATGGATCCCGGCTGGAAGCTGCAGTCTCGACTGCATGCGAGCGTAATTGTGCTCAAATGATGTAAGTGGGGGACTTAAGGGATGAATAAATCACTATTTCGCACTCTGCTCCCAAAGACAGGGAGATGCAGTTGATATTCTTTTTGTTTGCTCTTTTTTTAAATTTTTTTTTTGCACAAAGCCTGGATGTCATTCACCCTCAGCATGTTGAGACTACAAATGTAGACAGGAGGACTTGACAAACTTTGAGTAATTTTACTTCTGCAATATAAACTAATAGCAGGTTTTCACTCTTACTTTTTAAAGGGAATAATTATACGATAATATGGACTTGGGACGAAGGGAAAAATACTAAGCCTGAAGCTGGAGGAAAAATTCTATTTTTTCCAATCGTGACTGAAGGATGTGATGAAAGACTGCACTTATCTTCACCACAAAGAACTTGTCAACTGGTTCATCCTTTCATGTACGACATATACACTTATAAGAAAAATTCTGTTCATGTGTGGTGTAGCATGTAGCTCTAAGGGCTTTTTCACTCAGACTTATTAGGACATAAACCTGCAGAACCTGTTCCTTCTGTCCAATTATTTCAAGGCCACTGGCTCTCGTCTGAACATGCTACTCTAGGGGACATTAGCTCCCAATCAGTCAAGACATGGTTATATTTGTTAAGACATGGAATTTAGACAAGCTGAAAAAAAACTCCTTGTGTTTTAATTGAATTGCTGACAGGCAGGTCATGGTGCAACTCACAAGGCTCTTTTAGTTTAGTGGCCATAGTCTGGTTCAGCTTGACAGGGAGCTTAAGCTTGCGAAAAGCCTCTGGGAGGTAGAGATAAGGAAAGGCAGCATAAAACCCAATAAAGCTGCTTTGCACTTGGTGTGAGACAAAGTTACAAGTACTTAATGTGCCTGAATAAAGCGATTATACGATATCTGTCTGGAAATAATGTAACGCTAAGTGTCCTTTGTGTCCAGTTAGTTTGCAAGTTTTGTACAATGCTAGAAAACTGTGGCCCATTCAGAAAACATCACTCGTCACATCTGCTAATCCCAAATAAAACGAGAACACATATGAGTCTGTGAATAACTGGTCTAACAGGGCAGCATTTCCAAAACTGTATCATGATGTCAGGTCCCAGTGTGACAGTTAGTGAAGTATCGTGCGCTCATTCATTTGCGAGCCAAAGAGACCAGGCTTCTCATCTTTCCAGTAATGACTCTCCCTGTATTCTATGTCTGGATCTTCAATTATCACATGAAAGATAAGATGAGATGCAATAAAAAAAGAAAAAGAAAATAACATTACAGACCTTCAAATATTCAACGTGGTTGAGATTTCACTGGTAAGTCTCGTGTTATTTTAAATGTGATTCAGTTCAAGCATTGCACAGATGATAGATAACCATAAGCTTTTGGAAACATTCTTCATCTGTGATCACCATTTGTAATGCTTTCCTAGCCTTGCTCCACTAAGAGCTGGCTAATTTTAAAAAGAGTACAAATGAGCACGCGTCTCCCAAATTTAGAACCATCTTCCTGCTTTTGCGTTTTATCAAAGGAATGTGACAAAGTGAATTAACAAGGGTAATTGTCCTTGGCACATTTCACCGGGCACGGTCAAGTCTGACTTTATTATTCAGAGATTATTCTTAACTCAATTTTACCATGAATGGAAAGTGACATAATGTTCACTTTCCGTCTCATTAAGATTCCATAATAAGATCAGTGAACTGCTTTTTCTAAAAATGGACACTCACTCAGTTCTGTTAGGATCGTGCGTTTCTTTGCATTTAAAACGTAACACAATTCGAGCCGAGAGGAGAGTTACAATATATTATCATTTCATTTCTGACAGCAAAAATTATCAGCAGTCAATAAAGCCATTTCAAAAGCAGGCCACATTACAAATACAAACAAATCAACACATTTGGGAGTTAAAAACCAAACCAACACACTTAAGTACAGCATTGCAAAGCTCTCATTAAACCTTTTTTGCACAACAGAGAATTAAAATGTGCCCACAAAGCAAACATGTGTTTCACTTATGTCCGCCATCAGCAAATCTCCCATCTGGTGTTAACAGGGTTTTCGCCTCAGGCCTAAATTATCTATCAGACAATGAAACTGCTTTGGGTTTTTTTTTCAGTCAAGCATCTGTGCTTTCAATATGCAACTAATCTCGCGTGTGTAAGACTTCTTATTGTTAATTCTACACTTGCTGAGTGTGGCTCAGCTTAGGGAACTTGCATCAGTCAAAAACAATGAAGTAAAAACAATGAAAAGCTTAACATACACAGTAGGTGGTGCTCGGAGTTTTGGCATTGAAACAAATTGCACTTGCTGTAACACTTGAACTAACCACTTTGCCACTTGAAGCAGCGCGGGCTCTTGAATCGCTCGGCATGAAATGTCCAATTTTCCAAATGGCTGCTAAATCCTAATCTACTCCTTCACTTAGATCTGCTGATTGTGGTTGACCTCACACACAATCACACCAGTCGAATGGTCCACAGGTCGAGAAGGAAACTGCTGCTTTAATTCACCCTTGGCGAGGAAGTATTTTGTAGTAAAGAAACTCCTGAGGTATTCATTAACCTTCAGTATCTCTGCACCTTTTTGGTTTAATCAATCTGAATTATAAAAAATTAAGACATAAAGGAACAGTTACAGCATTTTCCCTTGCATTCGGACATTATGGCCACATCCACAATACTACATTTAAATTCGAAAACAGATCTCTGTCCACACAAGTGTTTTGGATCTGTATCAGTTTTAATCCCCAACCACGCCTGAAAACTCATATCACGTGACTGCTCATGCACGCTGGGCATGCGCGTCTGGTGTAAACAGGAAGGCATGAACGTCCCATGTTTTCTTCCATAAGGGGTCCCGTGATTAGAGCCAGACGAATTAGTGAAGGCTACATCGTGATCCAAAAGACCCAATCAGCAAGAGGTTGTGAGTGTCTACTTCATCGTTTTCAAGTGACAGGCCCTTCAGTAGCAGAGTTAATAACATTAAAAACATAGTAATGTGGCTGTAGCCTAAGTGGCAACGGTTTGATGAGGTGCGTCAAACTGGCAAAATAAGGAAGCTGGTTTCAATGTTAAAATGAAAATTACTTATTTGGTGAGATATTAGAAAAATGTGATGCATGTGGGAAAAACAACACGACAACTTTAGTCTTTGACCACCGTGTTTAGCTTAGCATCATTATCCAAAGCAGTAGTATTCATCCGACTCCACCCTGAGTTTCAGGGGGGACTTGCTGAAAGAATCGCTGTCGATTACAGTTTTCTCCACAAAGCAGTCAAGGTCTGTTGGCGATGGATCATTGGGGAGATCTTCTGCTAGAGTGTCCAGGTAGCTGCCGACAGACAGACCGTCCAGGTCGTCGCTGTTTCCATCGTTCAAGCTGTTGAAGCTGCCTCGCAGTGATGTGCCGTCCTGGCTGTCTGACAGGCTGTACAAGCTGCCCGTCAAGCTGCCATCTTGGCTGGTGGCGCCTCCTTTGTCGTCTATCATCCAGCGGATGGACTCGATGCCCTCGTTGATCGACATGAGCTGCTGCATCAGCTTCACGTCGATGGCTCGTAGATGTGCCTGTGAGTGGAATGAGAACATCGCAGTCAGGTCGTGGTAGAAAAGGATGATCAACAGTTCAGAGGGACGATCAGATTTTCACATCAGATCAATAAGGCTGTGCAAAGAAGCCAGTTAGCTTAGCATCAATATGGAAAAGGGCTAGCCTGTCTCTGTCATAAGGCGCATTTAACACATTTAAAAGACAAACAATTGAGGTATTGGTATTGGTGTATTCCTCAAAAATGTCAACGCAGGTACTACATGCAACAGTCCGACCTCAGAAGTAGAATACAAGTCAGCAGAAAACACAACAAGTGCTTCATTGTTAACTATTGTCAGCATTGTGGTTCAAAGTGCAGTTGTTAGACCCTGGAGAACAGCAGGTGAGATAACTGCTTGCGTCATGCGGTCCTTTTAGTGACTGCTCTGGAGCTTCTGATCGTGTCATCAGCGATTGAAACATGATGCTGTAATGTAATGAAAACCTTATGACTGAAAGCTCCGGAGTAGAACGACCTTACATTGAGTTGTTTCCTCAACTGTAAGCTCTCTTTTGTCGTCTAATGTCTGGAACATTTTGTGCCATTTTGTTTGGACTATCAGGCTTTTGTTATGAACAAAGACCCCAAACTATGTGGCGCTGAGAAAGAAGGAAGTGTAATCGCCATGTAACTGCAAAGCCAGGAGACACAGTTCATCCACGATAATGAATGACATGGCTACTTTACACAGTATGGCCATTAATTTAACTCCCTGCCTCAACAAACCCTGCCATTGATTGTGGATGGAAGTGGACAGCCTGCTGAGCCATTCAGAGGGATTCCTCTGTGTCGACTGGGTGACAAACGCCCAGTCTGAACAGCTGGTACATCCTGCCACATGTGAAAACGCATTGAGACAGATGTAGGCGGACGGGGCTGGTACAGTGTTTCAGAAAGCTGGCTTCATGCAACAGCCTTTCTCTAAAACCAGCCATGCCAGTGTGTTTGTTTTGTGTGCGCTACCACAAGCCTTATACAAACACAGAGTGGTGCACAAGCAGCTATTACATGTTGGATGGCCCCAGTGCATCAGTATCATAAAATGAGTTTAGGAAAAACAATTAGTGCTGCACCGGATAGTAACACTGAAGAGACAATATCATTCAGTCATATGAAACTAATAAACGCTGGCCCTGATCTTTTTTTTGGGAACAGCACATTTCAGAGTTCATTTGCTCCTCTGATAGACTGTAGATTATTGCAGCCTCTCAAATAACATAGGTGAATCAGAAGTGTGTGTTTGTGTGCAAAACCAAAACTTAGCAGTCTGGCTGGATTAGTGGTAAAGCTGTGAAGCGGGCCACAAAAACAGGAAGGCCCAAGATCGCTCGAATTCGGAATGAGCGCTTTAACAACAGCAGACCAACAATAGAGTTGATTCATTTTTAAAGGGATATCTTTTGTCCTTGTATGGGGACAGTTAAAATGGCTGCATATACATGTGAAAAGTGAGGTGTAAACTGGGGAAAATGTTTTTGCATATGCAAAGATGAAAACGTGTTGATTATACGTCTCAATGCTCCGTCACGTCAACATCCAACTAAGCCTATCAAGGCAGAGTGTCTCAGGGTGATTGGCCAGTTCAGTGTTCATGAACTCGGTCAACTTGGCCATCTGCTCAGGAATCCTAATACCCTGCGTGACCTTACTAACTGTGGGGCCTCTGCTGTGACTCTGTAACAAGCGTGGCATTTGAAAAAAAAAATGTATTTAATGCTGAGGGTTAGCAGATAAAAACCGTGTTACGGTGGAAAGGTAATTACACAGGCACTGTTGGGATTTCATTGTAGTTTGAATCACAAGAGGGAGGAAAGATCACCTCCGGTGTGGAGCATTCACCAGCAGGGTATCTAACGACTGTGCTGTGGTTGGTATGACCGGCTCTCACCTACTGACCAGCATCATGGCAACAACACCCCCACCTCTGACCACTTTGCATTTAACAACCTCATGCTGACATGTAGACCTGCTTTACATCTATAGTCTGCATTTCCTGTGAGCCCAGACTGTGCTAATAAAGGTAATTACAGCCTGTAAAGAAGACTTATAATCACATTTAACTTACCTGACAAGAAAATATGCTAAATAGTAGGGCTGGGCAATAATGGATTCAAATGTTAATTATCGCGATATATGTCACAATGTTATTTATTTCAAGTTTTTGCGTTTTTTGTGTTAAGGTTGTGATTTGAAATTCTTGAATCTGAGGTGGATGAATTGTGTTTCCACATCCACAATGCATAAGAAGTATATCGATATATTGAATCTTTGTTATGTTGCTATTAATGAAAATTCTATTGTGATAATTAGTGATATCAATTCATCGCCCAGCTCTTTGAGACATTGTTTTCATTCTTTTTAACATTGGTTAATAAATAAAAAGTATAGAATTAGGATATTTTGCTACATGTTGGTAAATATATGTATATATTAGTTTTTACTTCCATTTGTGATTTTCTATAGGTTTTATATTTCCATACATTTATAAGTACTTTACTGCTGTCTATCATTGACAGCCCTTGCTAAAGTATAAGGCTAATAAATGATTAGCTCTTTTTATTTTAAACTTGCAATATCCCCTGTTTCCAAATGGTTTGTTGTATTTGCAGCTAATCAAACCAACACTGTGACAACGTTTTCGTTCAGTCAAACAGGGCAGAGAGAAAGGCAACTCACCATTTCTTGTTTGAGGAATTGCATTTTGCTCTCCAGTCGCTTCAAGTCTCCAGAGTTGGCACAAAACTTGTAGTTGACTAAATGCGGCGGCGCGGACTTGTCATGATGTTTTCCTCCAACGAGAGAGCGAATGAGACTGTCCGGCACTTTGCGACCCAGTTTAGTCTCAATATCCTTCAAGTCGGGCAACGCGCTGTTATCCTCGTCCATGACGGTAAGACGGAGGCAGAGAGACGGGACAAAGCCTCGCTGCGTGCGGCGTTTGGAACCGACGGAGGCGCAACAATTACGCACGGGAGCCACGACCAGAGAGGAGTTGATTCGCAGCTCTGCGTGCGCTCCTCGCAACTTTTGTTCTCACAGTGAAGTGATGAGCCACAAACTCTTCACCTCTGTCTCCTCAACAGACCTCCCACTGAAGCTGCGTGGCCAGTAGAGACCGCTCACTGACAGCTTGCTCTGCGTAAAACCCTCCCACAGGGGGAGCTTCCTCTGAAACCAGACACCACACAGGTGAGGTGTTGTGAAACAAAAGGTACACGAGGGGATACATTCTTCAGGGCTTACAAATTAAATTAGGAGGAACTTGGAGCTGTAACTGCCAACTCTACCTGGAGGAAACACTCCAGGCTGATGATAGATTACAGGATACAATGCATCTTGTGATCTGTCTTGTACAGAAATATATATTCTGGTGTATTTTTTTAATCACTGAAGAACGTGAAAACAAAACCATAGCCCAGAACAGTTTGGCAAAAGCAAGAGAAAAGCAAGTATTAAAAGAAAGATACCCTGTGATTCTGCATTGTTCCACATTTCCTCTCAATAATGACCCCCTGCTTTAATAATTTACTCTTTATATCTTCATTCGTTACAAACAACATTTGCATCATGTGGATCAATTTCTTAATACAACATAAAAACACAAACAAACAAGTTCATCTCTCTTAATAATCAGTGTACAAGCAGTTTCAGATATTTAACCATAGCACCCCCTTGTGGGCACTGAAGCTCTACTACATGAGCAAACACATTTCTGACATCACCTGAAATGTAGCTGAACTAAACCAAACTCCTGTGATTGCAGTCAGATAAACAGATTAGTGTGAAGGCTGCAGACAAGTTGTAGGTGTTTAATTATTCAGCAGTGTATTCCACTAACATTAAGCTTTCCATTACGTAAAAAGTGTTAAAAAAAAAGTTAATAAGTTACAGAAAATTGTGGATCACTTCCCAGAATCAGCATTCTTTACACTTGATCACCTTTAAATTGAAACACATTCTCAAACTTACCAGAAATCTCCAACTTGCAACGAGACAACTTTTGTGCACATGGAAAAGTAAAATATTTGCATCTGCTCTATTCTGGAGTTTTTTTTAGAGAAAAATGAACTATTCCAGTTTTTGATGTAGAAATATTAGTGCAGCATAAATAGGATTTTTAAGAATCTACACTTTCTCCGGTGAGATTCAGGTAAAACAAACAAACTGCATAAGTAAAGAGAAGAGGCACAAAGGTGAAGCTTGTGTTCAAACACGCATCTTAAACTACAGACTGGCTTTTGTCATCGTCGTAGCGCTGGTACTGATCGCTGAGCAGAGGCTGGTGGCCCTCCATCCTGTAGGACCGGGCTCGCACGGCACACGTGGTGGCAGCGAATATGACCGCAACCACCACGAGTGCGGCGACTATTGCCATGGTGATGATTTCCGTCAGAGTGAAAGGTTGACCTACAAAACGTTGAAGCGGACGATTTATTCGAAGGCAAGGTTAAAAGCAAACCCGCATGAATTTGATGGTAATAGGAGTGAAATGCATACCTGGCCATTCAGCTTCGTACGAGTAACCCAGATTTTCAGGGGCCATCACAAACATCTCTGCGTTCGTCACTGGAGGCCAGAAAGGCACCATGTTGTAGCCCCTGTTGTGGCCAATGGGGGCGTTTTCCTCAGGATACGTTGCTGAACCTGACAAGAAACACAAGTTAGCCAACAAGCTCTTTATTCTAAAAATGACTGAGTAAAAAAATTTCTTTTTAACGTGATTCTTTTGATTCAAAAACACCTGGACTCTGTCTCCTCAACCATTCATCAAAGATGGCGTCAGTGTAGGTGTGGAGCAGCACGAAGATGGGGTCGTTGGGCGAGAGGTGGGTCTGTCCCCCTGTGCCGTTCAGGAAGAGATGTGCCAGGTTGTGGAGACTCCGAACCACAGGGTCATAGTTCCCCTGGGGGGCGCTGTAGCCTACCAAAAACAACATGAAAGAAGAAATAAGAAAAATGTAGAAACACTTTGACAGACAGGAAAATACCTATTTGTACTCACTCACCTTCAACTGTGTTTCTGAAACTTTCAGAGGAGGTGGAGTAGTATGGCGGAGTGTCGAAAGTGTTAACCTGCAGACAGTCCGCTACATCCTGGGGCTCCGGGAGACGCTGGACCATCGGCCTGTTGACGTTTCCTGCTGGATTCCTTCTGATGGGAGATGTCTCTGTGTCTGGAAGGGGAGGGGGGGGAGGGGGGGAAAGGAGCCAGATGACTTAGACCATCGCTGGAATAAAGAGGATCTCTGTAACATCACATGTTAAAAAGAACAGTAGACTCACTGTTGCAGATGGTTCCCAGTGTGTCATAGTCCTCCACGCTCTCGCAGATGACCCTCCACTGGGCGAAGATGGAGTTGGGGCTCAGGGAATTCATGTCAAAACTGCTCCTGGCTCCCATCAGGTCATCTGTGCAGATGTCACACGTGCTTCCACCGATGGCAAAGTTCCAGTAGGGCAGGGCGAAGGAGGGGTCCTGGAGCATATCCTAGTTGTTGGAAATATACATATAAAGGAAAGGTTAATGTTTGTTGAAATGAAAAAAGACATTTGCTGTTGACTTTTAAATTTAAAAAAAAATCCCCTTGGGAAATGTATCCAGAGTCTCAAAGTCTCACTTCGTAATGGTGTCATTAGGCAACAGATAAAATGTTCTTTCATGAGAGATCAGTTCTTTGTGGAGACTTTCTATGCAACAAATTGTGTTTCAGCATAAGGACAAACATAGACTAAGTGTACAACCAGGGATTTAAATATAACAAATAATAAATCAATTAGATTTTAATATTATATCATAACTGATTCAGAAAAAGCACAACGACAGTACTTAAAATAAATAAAAACCTAGTGTAACAAACACAATCTGAGATACATGAAACACAATATAAATGTATCAATATATATTTATTCATTAAGCTACAAGAAAATGGAATCTTTGTACACCTATGAATCACTTCACTGTTTTCCAATGAGAAAACACTGCAAGTTACCAAATCCCATTCTTAAATTCTGCAGTTTTTGATCCAAACCCCCACTAATGGCTCCTAACCGCTCATGAATCCCTCCATTAAACAACTGAGCTTTGAAACAAAAGCCTGATTTTTCTTCTCACCAGTTTCTGAGCAAAATAATCCAGCGCATGATTAAAACACAGGCCTCTAACCAGACAGGATATAATTGTGGCACAACAAGGAGCTGAGACATTTGTAGTCATTTTTAGTTGATACAGTTTCTCCTGATCTTCATAGAAATGAGCTCTCTGCCTCTAACTGTGCCTGCTGGTGTGTTTATTCAGCAGAGTCGAGGGGAAAAAAAGACTGTTATTTTCTGATAAAACGCTTAAAATTGCAATTTGTTTAGTGGTGATAAGGCATGAAACTATGCCTGAAACCTCAGGCAACCACAAAGAAAAATCTATTAGATGATTTCCTTTATCTTAAAATACCCAATAAACAGCTAGTGTGGATGCGAGTACAGTGTCATTACTCTTAATGCAAAATCTCACCTGCATGTCCCTCTCCAGCTGCAGCAGGTGGTACCTGTGCCAAGTGACGAATCCGGGACCCTCGTGTGAGAAGTCCACTCCCCCGAAACTCGCCTGTCCCGCGCCCAGGAACGTCTTGCTGACGGAGTAGTAGTGGGTCCAAACGAAGTAGTTGTAGATGGTGATGTTCTCGAACTGCACAGTGTTCCCGTCGGGGCCGAGGATCTCCGTGTAGCGCCGCGTGGCGATCACCAGGTCCGGGTGCACAGTGCGCTTGGCCTGGTCCAGCGCGTTCACGAACGCACGCTTCTGGTCCGCGCTGAGCTGCATCACGTTCCTCCTCACTGGGGAGTGGAGCGATGGGGTGGGTAGGTGGGGGGGAGAGGAGATTAAGTCAGGCAGTCATGCGTTATTTGGGGATCAGCTTTTAATGAGCGAGAAAAGAAGTACTGAAAACGTGCGTAAAAGGCAACCTTGACAATTTCTTTCAGCAATTAAAATCCCTCCTTCTTGTGTTCATGAGGCACTAATCTTAATTATCATTACCATTATTTTTGGTCAAGCCTAGATGAACAGTAAACGGGCCAGAACCAGCTGATTTGGCTGGTGTGTGGTGTCCTAAAGTAGTGCTGAAGTGCCACTGAGCAAGGGCAGAGAATCCTGACCAGCTCCTAAATATCTGCTATAGCTGACTTTATGACTATCTAATATAAAATATATAATCTAATATACTAACTATGTTTGATATAATAACATCTTAAACATAATATTACATCGATGAGAAATTAATAATCTTTAACATTATCGATAAAAAAAAGTTCTCCAACCGGAGGACGAGCACTCACCGACAGAAACCCGCTGGTCACAGTTCGCTCCAGTCCATCCGTGTCTGCAGCGGCCGCAGTTAAAGCCGCTGAAGTTCCCATTACACTGACAAGTGCGGTTGAAGTAACGGATGGGCCAACGCTCCCGATCATCCCGGCCGTCGTGGGGGTACTGGGGCCCGTGCGGCCGCGCGTCAGCCGTGATGGACACGCACTGTCCGCGGCCAGTGGTGGAGCCACACGGGTCGTTGTCGAGTCCGGTGGGTGACGGGCAGCACTGTCCACTCCTGAGCCCCTCGGGTGTCACACACTCTCTGGGGAACTGAGCGCTCACGACCACCGCGCCCACAAGCACCAAAACGCAGCTTCGCCACATTATCCCAAAAAGTGGAGTTTTACGCACGGCTGCAAACAGTTTTACCAACAGGATATTTATCTGCCTTTATGCACTTCAGCTCAGGTTTTATTTAAAATGAACGCGCATCACTTCTGTCTACTGATGAGTGGGTTTGAAAACTTCCTCTCCCACGCGTCCAGGCCCCTGCTTCCCCCAAAGCAGCGAACCGTCGACCTTAAATACCGGATTAGCGCATGACTACCCGGATTTTCTGACTCCCGCGTGATCCCATCACATATTTCCTACTGGGGATGGGGGGGGGGACGAAGGTAGTAGAACCCGGTCATGCACACAACTATTCTTTTAAAGACTCACTGCACTTTTGCAGCTGCTGGATGAGATTAATATGAATTATCAGAAAGTCTAATTTATTACACAAATGTTTCAGGTTAAAACACAAATGATCATGAATGAGTAACACCTGTAGATGAACTGTGACGTCTGTGAACACTGTCTAAACTATTCTGTTGTGAATTCATCATTATTTCTTTTTATAAATGTTGCCCCTGGCACACACACATACATGCTTGTGAAGTTAAATAAATCAGCTTGGTGCTGGAAACACACTCTGAAATCTTTTCCTATGAATCAAAATGAAACAGGAATGCACCAAGTAACACAAAAATGTGACATTTTCAATATAATGATCCAGTTTAAGCCTGAAAGATTCACGTGTTTGTTCAATCATCTTTTAGATCATTTGACTTCTCCAGAAGGCCTCCCTCTCTCTCCCTCCCTCCCTCCCACCCTCTCCATCCCACCTCCTCCTCTCTCTGAGCTGTTTTGCTATGAGCATGTGAGACATGGAGTCATGATGAAAGGCATTTATTCCACCAAAGAGGTCCTCTAGGAATGGAGGATTCTCTTTTTATTTCGTCTTTGTTTTTCAAATCAAACCTAATCGGATGCATCAGGCTCAAATTTCCCTGCACAATAACTGGAATCAGCTCAAATACAGGTGCACTAACACACTTTCACTTCCTTGAACAGTCAAACACTTGATATTCCTAAAGATAGTGGGACTGATTTAATGTAATTTAGTGTAAACTGTGTCTCTTCATTTTAATATGGCATTGAACTGAAGTCCTTTGAAAGCACCAGAAGATCCTTTGTACCTTGAAACCATATCTTTCAAACCACATTAATTGATAACAGACTTTCTTTTACACATTTCAAGCCTTCAGGCCACTGCTGAGATAAAACTGATAAATAAGTCAGGCTTGATTTACAGTGGCTCACCTGTTTAACCACGCTGAGTGGACCTGTTCCTGACAGGTTCAATGATCTCCATGTGTAAAATCAGTCAAAATAAAACTTAGAGTGGATTTAAAGATGGAAGACACGTCTCTACTTCCTTTCAAAATATCCCACATACGAATGCTTCCATCTTGCGCATTGTGCCAGAGTCAGCTGTCAATCATGAAGTATCACCCCATTTTAAAGCATCAAATTACTCATTAAAACCAAACTTACCAGAGATCACATAATTTATATTTGAGAAAAATGTATTTGACGTACACTTTTGAGTTTGGTCCATATCGCATCCGCTAACATGGAAGCTATGAACTTCTAACCTATACCACAGCAAGTCGCCAGGTGGCGATGGAGACGCTTTCCCTTTATTTTTGTGGAGCTTTCATGTGACTCTATGACCAGAAGCCAATCCAGTGCAATGGATTTGAGGTTAAGGGGAGTCAGCCAGCATGATAAAGTGTTTAATAATTGTGCAAACTTACCTCCCTCCTCCACATCTGACGTGTTTTTTCAGTGTTTACCTTTTTCATGTGTAGCGTTTATATGAATCTTCTCTCCGATCGCCCCTCCAGCGTGAGCACACTTTGTTTATTTGCTTTGCTCCTCTGCAGGTGAAAGGGTTGGGCTGAAAACAAAACAGAAAAAAAACCCTCTGATTAGTTTATATGAGCTGATGATACCTGTGGCAAAATCTTGATTATTTTTGGTCTTCAGCAACAACAACCTCCAGGCAGTTTTGTGATAAGGAAAACATTGGCTGTTTAAAACCTGCAGCAACAACCCCAAGGAGTTAGAAATCTAGGGCAGGATCAGCGAGGCAGGTTCTTTCAAAAACATTCTCACATCCTTCCCAAAATTCACTTCAAGCCTCACACTGCGTTGCAGACAGGGCACCGGGTAGTTTGAACGACAGCATTTGTTTGATTATTCGAAATAAATTCACACATTGCACATCAGATATCCTCCAGGGGACCGACGCCCACCAGGAAGCAAGAAATTCACTCATCAAAGTCTACCTCAAAAAACAAGAAAACACAAGAGCATACAATAGATGTCAGTGATGCTGAATACAGACAGTGGTCGGAAAGTGCACTTGACACTTAAGATTAAGATTCCTATTTTTGGTCCCACACACAGTATGCACGATGCAAACATGGGGAAATTTGACCTCTGTATTTAACCCATCTGTGTGAACGGAGCACACACGGAACACACTGAACACAATCCACACAGTGACCACACACGGAACAGTGGGCAGCCATGAAGGCGCCCAGGAAGTAATTTGGGGAGGTGAGCTAGCACCTCTCCAACTTCCATCCTGGACATGAACCGGCCGCCCTCCGGTTCCCAAGCCAAGTCCCTATGGACTGCGCTACTGTCATATACATGAGTATAATTTGTTTCTACTGGACAGGTAAAGTAATTTGTGCATACATAATACATATATATAATGCATGTGTATATTTTTGTATTGTGCATTAATCATCTCACCACTGGGCTAAACTAACTGCATATAACATTTATCTCCAGCCTGAACCGACACAACAGGAACATGCTATACTTACACATTGTTACATCAACAATTACTTTCCGATGTAAATGTGTGATGCATAGTAATAATACCAGTATCACAGTCATGGGGTACTTTAATTCTACAGTTAAATACATTTTGCTGATAAAGCGTGAATACTTTTAGTTGAGCAGTATTTTGCTTATTTCACTTGTAATGAAATTTTCTTTTTTTTAACATTGTAGTATTCATTGGTATTAAATAAAGGATACAAATACTATCCAACCTTCACGTAGTTTGCTTTAGGATTAAGACGTTTAGTTTTGGAGTTAAACTGTAAATCGTGAAAATTTTGAAATGGATTTATCCTCAGGCACAAATAAATAAATCGGAGCACTGTTTTTCTAAGAGGAGGAACTCAAAGGCAAAGGACTGTTAACCCAGTCACATGCGTTGCACATTGATTATCATAATTCCAGTCGGGGATGTATCGTTTCATAATTGGGGCGTGATGGTGAGGATTACACAAAGCTAGTGCTAAGCTCATTCTCATGAACTTACATTTGAAAATACAGCCACATTCCTGACGTATGTGCAGTTCTCATGTCCCCCCAGAGAACTGGTGGGAATGCCTGTTAACGTGTTGAGGTTAGAACCCTTCAAACATCATTTGTCTTGAGTCTCTATACTTTTCTACATTTATTTACAGTATCGTTTCGAACAGTGACAGGATTAAAAGTTACTTTGACCTTTGAGGGTCGTTCTGGCTGTAAATGAATCTATATGAGTTATTACAGTAATAGGCTTGTGAGTATTTAATAATTCAAAGTGCTGAAAATGCTCTGCAGCGGTTTTGAGCTGACGTTTCAGGAGACAGGATTTAACTGATCGTCTTTTGATTACGAGGCTTTTAGATTTTTCATATCTCTGCCTAACTTACATAAACTTCACCATGAATATATCAAACGACTTTACATGAGCGCATGTGATATAAAGGCAGTAAAATAGGTAGCCGGCAAGTGAGTTTTTCAATTATTTTGGCATTTTTGCACATTAAATTAGATAAACAAGTGTAAAACACCAAATATCACAAACTAATCCACTGAAAAATAACATCAGAAAGTGTAATTATATACAAAAATCTGAAAAGCGTGTCTCATCATTGCAATATTCTGCCACGGGTGCTACACATTTACACATCTCCACTGTTAGTCCCGTGACCACGGCTCAACAGACCTCCCTTTCATCCCCCCACCCCCCCACCACCATCATGTGTGTGTGTGTGCGTGTGCTCACGTCTGTGTATGTGTGAGAAAAAAAAAAAACCTTGGGCAGAGGATAGAGGATCATGTGAGAATATGTGACTCGGGTTTAATGGTAATCCTTGCCTTTGGTCAAAACGGCACAGTGGGAGTCATTAAGAAGGAGCTACACGAGCGGTTCATGACTGTCGGCCTCTCCCTCTCTTCTCCCCTTCCTCTAAGACAATGCCTGCATCTGCCTGTCATTCTCTTTTAATTTGACATCACAGGCCGTTTTCATGCTGCAGTCACTCCATCACGGCCCCCGCGTTTCCTCATGTTCATTTGCCTCGCTGTAAATGAGGGAAAAATAACAATATTTTTCACAATCTCAAAGAATGAGTCCCATGTGGACGCACTGCTACAGCTCGGGGCGTCGATGATATAACGAGACGAAGCACAAGCAGCCGTGCTAGAAGCCATGTGAGGGTGGAGCTGGAGACAGCAGGACTTTGCTCGTAGCATCCTCTTAATGTCAGTGCTTAGTTTAGCGTGAAGTTTACTGGGTTGACCATTTAATGTTGCTGGGGACGTCATTATTCTGCAGGAATTTGAATTTAGTCATAAATCAAAGTACTGAGCGAACTTGTGCTGGATCAGAAGTCAACCATGGATGTGTGTACCCAACGAATGAATGAATGCGTGTAACTGATTTCATGGTAAACCATCAGATTCTCACGCATATTTGAACCACATTGGAATTTTCTCCCAGCAGTATCCAAGGTCAGGTTATAGATAAAGGACCAACTAGCAGTGCATTGTAGTGTCTACGCTTAGAGACTTTCATATCTAACTCAGATGCCCCATCGAGAATGATAGCAATTCTAGCTATTTCACTGATGTGCTGTCAGAATGGGGGACACAAGTAGAGGGAGATATATGGGAATGCTGTGGGAGACATCTTCAGATTGTTCCACCTTTTGGTCTCCTTGATGCATCAAGTCTACTTTAAACTCTTCTGCATAAGATCTTTGAGACATTTTAAGAAATCCAAAATGGACCTGCTGAGGGTGCTCGAGGAAACGTGGGAAGCATCACTTAAGTCACGAAGGATATGTGGACTAAATGTCGCGGCAATCCGTCCAAGAGTCGTAGAGA